ACAGAGAATGCTGCATTATTTCGTCGTGGCTGTCAACAAAATTTCCGCCAAAAACCTTTTGGCACCAAGCTTCTTGTGAATGTATACATTTTGTCGCCGACCTTATCCACGAAGTCGAAAGATTTCCACACCCCTGTGTCCTTTCCTCAGGTAGAAGTCGATTTGATCTCCTCCGGATAACTTAACCTAGATAACTGTTCTGAGCAAAAGGTCACTGCTGCTGATTGTAATTCAGTGACTTTATTTGACCTTGCAATCATGGTGACGAAGAACCATGACTTTGCTGTGTTTTTACCAGTTTCAACTAGCGTCAAGGATTACGCAAGGCGGCACGCTCTAAAAAATATTGATCCGAGTCATTCCAGGCCAGTGACCTTCTCTGACCTTTAAGAAGCCCATGAAAGATGGAACTGACCGAATTGAAATGAGCATCAGAAACTGCAAAACAGGTTGGTTTTAACCCGGTCTGATCTTCATTCTTGAACTAAGGTCAAGGGAATTTGTTGTACGTCTAAATGCAATTGTCTTATTGTCTTACAAACTATCTCAGACACGTATGGCTTCGTCTAACACTCTATTGTCGCATCACATGGAGCGATTCCCCACAAATTGGCATCACTGACAGCAACGGCCTGACATTCATCTGCCACCGGTCAGCGACCTTACAACGTGCATCTGAATTTGATATGGATAAGGTCGCAGCATTAGCCTTATTCCTCGGAAAAAAAAACAGGAGAATGGAGATATGGTTTGGTTGACATTTCGGCAACATGCATTTATCGAAACAATAGCGGAAGACTTCTGCTATAATTAAGATTTCAGATCCGTGCTATATCTAGGTTATAGTACAGATCTGAAATACACTTTTGCTATTGATTCGATAAAAGCATGCTGCCGAAATATCAACCTAACCATATTTCGATTCTCCTAGTTTTTCCGAGGAATAAGCATCGCATTACTGTCTGATCTAGGTGAATAATGTTCCTCGCTAATGCACTGAACAGCTCAATTTGATAGACCGAAAGACCCGCTACTCCATTGCCGCCAGCGACGTACACTTTGGTATGGCCACGCCGCACTGTTCAGAAAAAGTATTTTGGAAAATAATTTTTTTTTTGGTGGGGGGGGGGCAGCGGAGGGGGGCAAGTTTAGCCCTCACCCGAGCATGCGTTGGCCCGCGTCCATAATTAACTGAACACAATTTGAATGGGGAGAGCATGCTTTGCAAATGTAGGGAATCACAAACCCCTGCACAGATCACTGATTACGGGCGACTATACAAGCACCTATCTTGCTGTGCGGCTAAAGGCTCGTCTCTCGCACCACCATTGATCTTCACCACCACCATACCCAAGCATATGCAGTGTGTTTGGTGGGGAGCTGAAGAGCCGTTTTATCAGCACGTCACGCTCCGTTTAGAAAACCAAAACAAAAACTTCAGCGTCAGCCAAGCAAGCACTCTTTGTTCTTTCCTGGTATAATGCATTTTGATATGCCCCACAACGTGGGTACCAGATCCCCGTGTCGAAAGATATCAGATGGCTTCTACGCATTTTACCGCACGGAAAAGTGTTAACACAGTTGAATGCCTGCAGGCACCTTATGTAGAGGTATGCACTATCTTCAACAAACGCTCCATTTTCTCACCCAGACGGTAGGACTCATGTGAGCGCGGGAGCGTGCGATGACCCAACAGTGCGAAACAGTGGTCTGGTCCTGGGTGATTTTGTGCTGCGAATAGGCGCATTCTATGATATCACTATCCACCAGGCTTCCTGTAGGCCAGGAGTGGTCGATTAGGTGATTAGGTGATTAGTGAGGGAGGGGGGGAAGAGAGTGCACCGGCTCACTCACTCACAACGTTTGACGTTAACTCTATGGGGGTGAATGAAGATAGACGACGTAAAATTACGTTTCTCACCCCAATGCCCACCGAAATTCCGCCGCCACTTTCGATGGCTGCATGATCTCCTCTAGATTACACTATTGCGATTAAAAATATCCTATATTTATTCTATCTCAAATGTTTTTATGTTTATGCATGCCCTATTTGGTCCCTTGTCCCTGAAGTGCTTGAACGCTGTTCCTCTCTCCATTAAGTACTTATCTACACCTTTTGCAAGGGCACTAGGTTTGGTAGCGCTAAAAGTATATTTACGAGACTTCCACCAGCGCCTTCCACCCGCTGCGTAAAATGCCCCAAACTAACCATACTGTGGTCATATATTTTTAACCTATGTGGTTTCACATAGATGCATTCTCCTACGTTGACAGTTCGAACTCACAGCCAGCACAAACCCTCTTCAAATCAGGAATGGTGAGTCCCCAGCGACGTAAACAGTCTATCAAATGGCAGGACACTGCAGCACATAGACGGGTGTCTGGACTATCCACGATGGACTTGGGGCTACTCTAGTTAATCGCCACACCGTTAAAGCAAGGTGTCACTGGCTACAAATGCAAACACACACACGCAACTCACTAACAGACACACAAACGCGCATGCAGTCACGGCTCAGACCAATCCTTGGTCAGGGCGGACGTCGAAGCAGCATGTGGCGCTTCAGGGAGTCGTATCAGGTCAAGGGAAGATGGCCATGCTGGGTGGCAGGTCGGCAACAAAAGCGCCTGCTTCCCATCTCAGTGCGTGACCTTGGGACGAACAAATCTCCATTCTGCCGCGTGTGGTGATCTCGGGTTTGAGGCACCGACTGGAACTCACCGACAGGAACTTCTGTCTCACCAGTAAGTATTTATCTCACCAGAACGCAGCGCCTTGCGAAAAAGCGTCAACATGCGGTATTTGATGAGGCTATACGCAGAGAGCTAGCCGAGTTTCTCCAGCAGATTCTAAACGTAATAATTTTTTTACTCCCAACGATTAATTTTTATACAAAGTCGGTGAGACGTTTTATAAATACTCGTTTATGAGTGCCACTCCGATAAACCAAAGCTCAGTATCGGATCTACGAGAGGACTAATGCGCTCACGAGCATGGAGACGGCACTCGGGGCAAGTAGTTTCTCAGATGTGATAGACAAAAGAGAGTACCAGAGCAGCGGCCAGTGACGAAAGAAACGTATGAATTCCAGCTGAGAGACGGATCAAATACTAGTCCTAGATTTTTCACCTGCGAACAGGGGAAAACCTTTGCTCACGAAGGTTTGCAGTGATGTTCGGGGGGCCGCGCAGATTTTGTGGGCTTCCAAATAACAACAACCGGGCCGTCTCAGCATTTACTTGAAAAGACCGCTTGTGCGAAGTCTAAAATATCAAGAGACTTTGACTTGTTCTATCTGCGTGATGCCATTTTAAGAATGACATTTTTTTGCCACCCACGAGGATTTTAGTGTCGTCCGCATACTGCATAACGACTGCATCCTCTGCGAAAAAGCTAACATCATTCGCGAAGATGCAGTGGAGCAGGGAACCAAGCGCCGATCGCTGAAAATATCATGCTGTGAAGCGGCATAGTAGAGAGTTTGCTGTGCTTAAAACGGTCATATATTCTCACACCCTGGGTGTGGCTTTCGAGGCAAGCCGAAACTAGAAAGCATCGATGTTGTGCAGACACAGTTTTGCCAGCAATTTTGAGTGCCCTATGCCATCGACATATGGCCACATGATATGACGACATAGGCCACATATGGCCTATGACATCGAAACCTTTGCCCAAATCAATCAAGCAGAGCAGCGACATGTCCCCACGGTCGTTGGCAGTTAGGCTGTGGTCGGACACACAAGCCAGCACGGTTTCCGTGAAATGGTGCGGTCTGAAACCGTGCTGGTTTGGGGAAAGGAGGTGGTTGTTGGGGAGGCAGCCGTAGAACTAATAGTGGACTGCACGCTCCACAATCTTTGTCATGACAGCGACGATGGATATGGGGCGGGAGCTATAAGGATTTGTAGGATCTTCGACTTTGAACATCAACGAATGGAATGGTCAGTGCGCTTTTCGACAGCAGTCGCGTCCAGCCTCTAATACTAGTTCGTGAAATACAAGGCTTCGTCACCATTCAGCGTACGTCAGTTCTCTCTCACAGGACGACCCCGGTATCCCGAAGAGCCCTTCCGTATCGGACCCTTCCAAGCGCCTCTCAGACCACCCATGCTCTCTTCGAATCCAGAGCACCGAAGCGCAGTGCTCTCGCACCAAGTCGTTACTCCGTTGTCGAGTGAGCGGTTAGCAGGGCGCGACTGTAGCGAACGCGTGATCTCCAGCTGTGATGACGCTTAACACCCTCCACGGCCGAACAGTATAAACGATCCGACAGACAAACGGCCAAACAGAATGAACGCGACGTCACGTCCGCCGCAGCGGGCGTGGCTGAGGCGCCGAGGTATACATAGTCCACGCCTTGGAAAACACCCGGCGTTGGTGGAGTCCCGGTCAGAGCAACAAACCCCCGCCACATGGCTGGCATCGCCTTAATCGCCCAAAACGCGGGTGTTGAAGAGCCTCGCACGGCTCTCATTTGACGCTGGGAGCCTCATCTGACGCTGGGAGTTTCATCTGACACTGGGAGTCTCACCTGACGCCGGGGGTCTCAGCTGACGCTGGGAGTCTCATCTGGCGCCGGAAGTCCCATCTGATGCTGGGAGTTTCATCTGGCGCTGGGGAGCCTTATTTGACGCTGGGACTTTCATCTGACACTGGGGAGTCTCATCTGACGCTGGGAATTTCATCTGACGCTGGGAGTCCCACGTGACGCCGGGAGTCCCATCTGATGCTGGAAGTCCCATCTGACGCTGGGGAGCCTTATCTGACGCTGGGGAGTCTCATCGGACGCTGGGAGTCCCATCTGACGCCGGGAGTCCCATCTGACGCTGGGGAGCCTTATCTGACGCTTGGAGCCTCACCTGACGCTGGGGAGCCTCATCTGACACCGGGGAGTCTCATCTGACGATGAGGGTTCTTATCTGACGCTGCCGCGGCCTCTGGGTACGGGTCGGTGCTCTGCTGCGGTTCGGCCAGTCCCAACGCGATAGTAAACAACATCGAATGTTCGAGATGCATTTCTCCAGACATAAATCGCTCACTGGCACAGGCACTTGTTCTAGAAACGACACAGCGCACCGCCACCAGGACATTTCTGGTGAGCACGGCGCAGCACTGAGACAAACCAGGCGCGCGTGGCACGCCACTGAGACAATTCCAATATGTCACCAGCCCCCACAATCCCCTATCTGACGGACGGACGCCAGCTGAGTGGACATCCGGTCACTTACGGGTCACATCACCGAGCCAAATATCTCGGGGCAATGCCACACGCACGCAGCTGTGGTGCACACGTGGACACGTGCTGCAAACACGTGCACGCTGTGATGCCGATCGGCTCCAAAAGAAATGCACGTGAAGCCTTGCGCACGTAGCAAACGCTCTTCGAAAACGTGCAAGAAATATTCACGATGCACTAGACTTTCGCTAATCTTACGGCGCCTGAACGAACACTATACGGAGTCTGGATTGCTGAAGGGACTACTGGCCGACAGCTACATTGCGGAAGGCAACGAGAAGAGCCGCAATCGATGTTTGACAATGCCAAGCCGCACCATAGGCGAGGCTCGTGCTAAGCTGAGTCAGGCTACAACGGGCAGCTGCCAGCGAATGGAGACCCAGCTGCCAGGCAAATCGGCAGGTAGCCGAAGCTCGTATTAGATGCCATGGAAAAACGTGAGATCTACGGGGCACTCCATGCCGTAGCACACTGTGGGCACGGAGCACATTCACAACCCGTAGCACTGTCGGCAAGGAGCACATACACATACACTCGTCCAAGCGGACCTGTGATGGAAAGAGCACACATGAAACCATCGAAATGAAATGAGCAACACCCCCGTGCGCGAATAGCTGCGAGTGCTACCAAAAACATGGGGCAATTACCACTGCCTCTCTTGCCGTATTTGCGACTAACCTATAAACTTCCAGAGTGGCAATGCCGATGCCCACTTGTCAATGCAAACAAGGGGAGCCTTTCGTTCAGTTTAAGTTTAAACCAACGCGTGACTGAACAGCCATCACCGCAACATTAGTCGTCGGCATGCACCGGACCCTCCATGATCCCAGAAAGGTCTGTAGCTGAATTTAGCGATATGAAACATCTATCTGACAGCATGCAGCCACATAATGCGTCCATCATGTCATTTTCCGGGCAACAGAGAGCGTGTTGAAAAATGGGCGGTGGCGCCACTCCTGGTGTCAGCCGCGTTTAGCGCGTTAAGTAAAAATAGCAGCTGTTTCCATCGAAGAACCCCTTGCCGTCAGCGTCAGCCCACAACCCCCCGTCACTCCGCTCAAAGGCAGAAGTGGGAAGCAAAAGAGAGGGGAAGGGGAAGAGGAGGAGGCACGCGATCGACCCAGGTGCCAGCTGTGTCACCGAGCGCGCGCGGGGGTTCAGCAACAGCTGGCGCGGCGGTTTCTGAGGGCTGCGAACGACCCCTGCGGCGCTGGCCGGCCGGCGGGCGGCGTAAACAAGCCGAAGCCGAATCATCGAGGCGCGCGGTCAGACAGGACCGCCTGCAGCTGAAGATAAGCCATGGTTCTCTCCCTCTAACCCGTCCAGACGGCTGCACAGAAGGCGGGCGGGCCTACGGTGGGGTGGAGCACACACGCGCGTACGCATGCACGCCTATCACGGGAGTCTCCAGGAGCCTGACGGTGTGTCCGCGCGTCATTGCAAGCCGCTGCAGAAGCCAGACCAGCCCCAGCCTCTCACATCCCGCCGCCCGCCGAGTGTTCGCCCGCAGCACGACGACCCGTCTCACACGACGACGGGTCGGTTGACTGCTGCCTGCGCTGACCCGGCGCCCGCCTCGGGCGCCGAAACACAGAGGTCGTGGCGAGCCGGATAGCAGTGACGTTGGCTGTGGCGGTGTACCGTTGCGGTTCCCACTGGCGAGTGCTTCGGAAGTATCGCGATATCGAAATCACCAGCGTAATACGACTGATCTCAAGCCGACATGACTGACCGTGAATGGATTCTGACAAGCGCACCGACGCAATGGCTCCGAGCAAAGTGCCGTGCCCAGCCGGACACGGGCACTGCAGAGGATGAAAAACTAAAGCTTGCCTAGCCGCCCATTGTCCTGCCGCGTTTTGTCCTGACTGCGTTTTTAGTCTTCACTCCCGGGACGGATCTGGCGAGTGCCGCTGGTTGGCATCAAGTATACGCCACACCCCGCGCTGTATCGATTGACCTTGCAGCGACCTTGACCTGGCGCGTTCTACGCGATCCCGGCTAACCTCACATCATCTGTGAAACTTTATCGACTCCGCCGCATGACTAGAAGCGCCCGTGAGTGCGTCGGCTTAGCAGACTAGCTGCAGATCACGGCCAGTGACAGCGGACCGTCCATGCCCCGCTATCTGCGCAGATGACCCGCTGCTGAGCATGACGACTTGCTTCAGACCATCTACGGCCCGCAGCAGAGGATAATTCTTGACCTCAACATGACCGCATCCCGCTCTCTGCGCAGGTAACACGCTGAAGGGTACGATTAGAGCACCCGTGGTTGGATGCAAGACGCAGCGGCGGCCTCAGATCCTCTGCGGCGCACTCTCTGACGAGGAGATCCGCTGCAGGACGCCGCAGCGGCGGCCTCAGATCCTCTGCGGTCTGTTCTCTGACGAGATCCGCTGCAGGACGCGGCGGCGGCCTCAGATCCTCTGCGGCGCACTCTCTGACGAGATCCGCCGCAGGACGCGGCGGCGGCCTCAGATCCTCTGCGGCGCACTCTCTGACGAGGAGATCCGCTGCAGGACACGGCGGCGGCGGCCTCAGATCCTCTGCGGTCCGTTCTCTGACGAGGAGATCCGCTGCAGGACGCCGCGGCGGCGGCCTCAGATCCACTGCGGTCTGCTCTCTGACGAGATCCGCTGCAGGACGCGGCGGTGGCCTCAGATCCTCTGCGGCGCTTTCTCTGACGAGGAGATCCGCTGCAGGACGCGGCGGCGGCCTCAGATCCTCTGCGGCGCACTCTCCGACGATGAGATCCGCTGCAAGACGCGACGACTGGCGCGGCTGGCCTGCACGAGGCACAGCATGAGACCGGACAGCACCAGCGCCGTGCCCGCCGCGTGGAAGGTCAGCTCATAGTTACCCGTCAGGTCGCGCAGCATGCCTGCAACAGAGCACACCCCGTGTCAGGAGAGGGACAGTCAGGTCACACCTGCTGGCGGGCGCGCCACAGTGGGGCAGCGCTCAGTCGTGTTGCGTGGAGACCGCAGCAGGGTGAGGGGCGCGCGCGTGCAGCTCGAAGTCACGTCGCTCAGACAGCAACCGCCGTCAGCCTGAAGCCACCATGACACCAGTTCAGGGGCGACCACACTACCGACCACTGCGGAAAATTCCCTAGCCTCATTCCTCGGATAAAGGCCAGGAGAATGGAGATATAGTTGGGTTGATACTTCGGCAACGTGCCCTTATCGAAACAATAACAGAAGTGAATAGCAGAAAAGCAGCATAGCGATAGCAGAATAGCGTGACACCAGGAGTCTGTCTCTGTCGGAAGCTGTGGGACGTGACACCAAGAGTTTGCCTCTGTCGAGCGCTGTGGGACGTGGTGCCAAGAGTCTGCCTCTGTCGGGAGCTGTGGGACGTGGCGTCAAGAGTCTATCTCTGTCGGGAGCTGTGGGACGTGGCATCAAGAGTCTGTCTCTTTCGGACGCTCTCAGACGTGACACCAAGAGTCTGTCTCTGTCGGAGGCTGCGGGACGTGGCAACAAGAGTCTGTCTCTGTCGGACTCTCTGAGACGTGACACCAAGAGTTTGTCTCTGTCGGACGTTGTGAGGCGTGGCAACAAGAGCCTGTCTCTGTCGGACGCTCTGAGACGTGACACCAAGGCTCTGTCTCTGTCGGACGCTCTGAGACGTGACACCAAGAGTTTGTCTCTGTCGGGAGCTGTGGGACGTGGCACCAAGAGTCTGTCTCTGTCGGACACTCTGAGACGTGACACCAAGAGTCCGTCTCTGCCGAACGCTGTGGGACGTGGCACCAAGTCTGTCTCTGTCGGACGCTCTGAGGCGTGACACCAAGAGTCTGTCTCTGTCGGAGGCTGCGGGACGTGGCACCAAGAGTCTGTCTCTGTCGGACGCTCTGAGACGTGACATCAAGAGTTTGTCTCTGTCGGACGTTGTGAGGCTTGTCAACAAGAGCCTGTCTCTGTCGGACGCTCTGAGACGTGACACCAAGAGTCTGTCTCTGTCGGGAGCTGTGGGATGTGGCGCCAAGAGTCTGTCTCTGTCGGACGCTCTAAGGCGTGGCAACAAAAGTCTGTTTCCGCCGGAAGCTGTGATGAGTTCCCGATAAACAGTACTCATAAGAGGCATCAAACGCCGTTGCCATACGTCTACAACGGCGCCCCGCTAGCTGCAAGCGGCATTTCCCGAGATTTGCTGGAGGACGAGGCAGCTGAAGGAAATAAAGGTTCGATTGCGAAACAGATCACTTGAGTTCGAAGCAGACTCATATTCTGTCAACACTTCCGGGAATCTTTCTAGAACTGAAGGAGAGAAAATACACCGACACAACCATATGTCGGCAAAGCAACAACAGCCAACCATAGCAGTTTGCACAGCCAAGCAACGGGCGAGTTTTTAAAAGTCTGGCTTTCTTCCGTAAGGAGTAGGACATACAAAGCGGGCAAGGTTGGCGATATTTACAGCCAAGTCAATATCACATACGCCCTTAACAGTAGAAAAGCGGAAAAACACCCCCAGAATGCCACCTGAACTGAAAGATATACGAACATACACTTTAACGACAAACCTCCGTTATGCAACAATATGAATTCACGCATGTGTATTCCTTTGGAGTACGCATGCAAATGACACGGCGTCATTACCTTTTAAAATCCACACATCACACGAGGAAATCATGAAACCTACAGCCAAACATAGCTGTGCACCCAACTGCAAGACCCTTCCACACACAAAATCATCTCCGCCGACCCAATTCTTCACACAGAACACTGAGCCTGCCAACGCCCTTCTTCCTGAGATGTTCCCTTGACCCGGACCGTCACGGGTCACCACGCCGTGGCGCCTGGCAGCGAGGCAGGGCCGAGGCGGGGACGCGCGGCGGCCGGTCCAGCCGGAGACGCCCCGGCGACGCGCCGACACCGGTAACGACCAACGGACACGGCCAACTGGGCGTCGATCCCCGCTCCCACGGCCTCCACAGCCGGCTGCCCATCCGGTCCATGCTTGGTGCCAACATTGGCGTGACGAGCTGGGCAACAGACGTCTGCGGGGTGTATGCCTGTGTTCCGCCGAAATGTGACACCGCGTGGGCTCCAGCCAGCTGAATACCAACGTGTACGTGTTAAGCCAGCAGTACTTGGAAAACTAATGAGTCTCTGGCCCATATCCTGCACTTGGGTCCAAATATGTCGGCGCTTACGTTTGGATGCAGTGGGCTCCTACACTTCTACCAATATTTCCGCGCGTGTGGTGCAAAATACTTGAAAGGACTGGATCTTCAAAACTACTTCTTAATTAAAGAAATGGGAGGCAGTGGCATGTCTTAACTTGTGGGGCAAGTTCTTTGATACGCGTTCGCTTCTTTACACTCAAACAATTTACACAACTCCGCCAAGTTTCGTCTTTTTATGTGTGAACCCTGCGAGTAGCCAGTTCACTTAAGTGCCAATACCTGTATTGCAGGACCTCAGGGATTAGCAGTGTGGTGCGGTGAACCTACAAAGAAGAGCACGAGAGAAAACATTTTTGTTGCCGACATTCGTTGGGGATGAGATGTTCCATACTGGAATCAATACAAAATTTATAAAAATGGAATGAAATCATTTTCAAGGCATTCGGCCACATTTTCTAAGAGCTTGTGTGTGCCACACGACTATATCAACTGTTGCCTCGTAAAAAATAATGTGCACAATAAGCTCCGGAAAGATGTCTGTGTAGCCCGCTCTGCAGTCAGGCACGCAAAACATAATCCAGCACGTGCCCCATCTCATATATGTGATAACATGTGAGCCACTCATAAGGCAAATGTGTGCGCACAGATACACCAAAGTGTTATAAGGTTTTAAGTTTAAGTGCATTTAAGATGAAACGGTAGTAATAGCCTTATTATTCGGGAAAAAACAGGAGAATGGAGATACAGATGCGTTGATATTTCGAACACACGCCTTTTCGATGGGAATAGCAGAAAACTTTTGCTTTTCGTTTCGATAAAGGCATGTTGCCGACATGTCTTCATTCTCCTGGATTTCTCCGAGGAATAAGGCTACCAGTACTGTCTTATCGATGTCCATACTGCTTCTCGCAATCGCACAAACAACTTGTGCACTTACGATGGTTTATATGCAAGAACAACATCAATTTCCTAAAATGTGCTTACATCTGAGGGCGCTTCTCGTGGTTAACATCAATAAGACTTCGGCCATAAACGGTCAGCTGAAATAAAACAGTATCACCACTGGAATCTGTTGTCATTTAGCACATCGAGGAAGGCGACTGTGCTTTGGTGGTGGCTGTACTCCGGAGGCAGCCGTACTTCGGCGGTGACTGTATTTCGGAGGCGGCCGTACTTCGGTGGTGACTGTACCTCGGAGGCAGCCGTACTTCGGCGGTGACTGTATCTCGGAGGCGGCCGTACTTCGGTGGTGACCGTACCTCGGAGGCGGCCGTACTTCGGTGGTGACTGTACCTCGGAGGCGGCCGTGCTTCAGTGGTGACTGTATCTCGGAGGCGCCGTGCTTCGGTGGTGACTGTACCTCGGAGGCGCCGTGCTTCGGTGGTGACTGTACCTCGGAGGCGACGGTATTTCGGTAGTCGCTGTACCTTGGTGGTGACTGTACCTCGGTGGCGGCTGTACTTCGGTGGTGACTGTACCTCGGTGGCGGCCATACTTCGGTAGTGACTGTACCTCGGAGGTGGCCATACTTCGGTGGTGACTGTACCTCAGAGGCGGCCGTACTTCGGTAGTAGCCGTACCTCAGAGGCGGCTGTAGTTCGGTGGTTACTGTACTTCGGTGGCGGCCGTACTTCGGTAGTGACTGTGCCTTGGTGGTGACTGCAGCGTGCCGACCAAACGATCATCGTCCCCCATACTTCACCACACAGTACGGAGGTCCACACACCAACACGCTCGCCTTCACCACGCGTTCCCAGCCCAGCGCTTCATGCCACACATCTGCGCTGCTGATAACAACTGTGAACAATAACAATGACATTCATTGGGGCATGTCATTAAGGCACACCACAAGCTAATTAGTCCGATCCCGCAGGCCCACGTGTGACACATTGCTTCGGCTCCGCGCCTCTGATGGCAGATTGAAGCTCTTGATTTTCAGCATTGTTTGTCAAGATGATTAATGCCACGAAATAATGTACGAACTGATTGATAATGAACAACTGACTTGGTAGCCGTTTTGGCAAAGCTTTCGGGCTTTGTAATCATGACTTTGTAATGGCATGGTTCTTATTACGTGGTGGAAATAGTATGCCAAGTCCGTCAAAAGCTGACGTGCTTTATCACTTGCTGGTGCAAGATTTACACATGACAATACCATACGAAAGTCTTTAAATCCAACACGGAACAGAACACAATATGTCAAGAAACCCTTAGGAACAGAACTAAAGCATGTCTTGGCAGGGTGCTGCTGATCAGGATGCTTTCAGAAAGCCCTGAATTTCAAGGCCATGAAATCGCCAAGCCAATGAAATCACCATGAGTCAGGAAGAAAATCAAATCATCCTTTTGGATTGAGACCACAAGACTCGAATATCATGCGTGTAGATATAGATTGCGTGTAGATAGCGTGTAGACCACACCACATGCGTGTAGATATAGATTTGCCAACTATCTTCACACGGCTCGCGTATCAATGTGTCACAAATTACACCAAAATGTTACGACTGCATATAAAAAGCAACTGTTTCGAAACCGAATGAAGGTTCGTCATAAAAAGCGCAAACGTCGCTTATTGTTTATCTTCCGCAGAACAAACAGACTAGCGCATTCAACGTCGGCTTGCTCATAACCAGACCAACCTTGTTTTGAAGCAAATGGACCTAAATATACCTGAAAACAAAGTGTCCCCGGATTCTAGACCCCAAATAATTTGCTAGAATTATCAACCAGCTGGAATCCTACGAACACTTGAAACAACAATATGTGGCATCTAACGGTTGGACCCCACGTCCCGTGACAACATTCGGCATAATGCGCGGCGGACGGCATGAACGCGGAAGAGATTGTCACGCTGCACGTTGGGCCCTGGACCGGAGACTGGGGACAGGACTCGAGACGCAGACTGGATGCTGTAGAGAGGACTCCAGACTGGATGCGCTGTCCTGAACCTGACGAAGCTCTCCTGACGCCGGACTCTGGACTCGAGACACGGGGATGCGCCTGCGGCGGGAATCCGACGTCGGGTTCCCAACGCCGGCCGGGTGCGACGACTCACCGCAGAGAGGAGGTCCGACCAGGTTGGCCAGGCCCTGAGCCAGCAGCAGGATGCCGTAGGCGTTGGTGAAGTTCTCGATGCTGATCAGGCTCACCAGAATGGTAGGCGCCAGAGTATAGTTCGCCGATATGCAGAACCCGAACACGGCCGACGCCTGACGAAATGGTCGCGGTGAAACCGACAACTCGACCACGACAGGCGGAGACAGCGGTGCGCAGCGGGCGACGCCGGCGCACAGGGGGTAGCGCCAGCTCACAGGGGGCTCACAACTGAAACGGGTCGCTACGGTCCGTGGTGCACCGAGGGGATTCAGACGGTACGGTCCGTGGTGCACCGAGGGGGGTCAGGCGGTACGGTCCGTGGTGCACCGAGCTGTGTCAGGGGGTACGGTCGTTGTTGTTGATCGGAGTTTTAGGGCGCGCCGACTACTGTGGTCATTTTGCGCCCACAACAGCTAAATCACTACCTACGACGGTAAATGACTAAAAAATGCATGTTAGTCAGAAATGAAAACGGCTGAGTTGTGACAGGAACGCGCCACCAGTGATGTCCGAATACGTGAACCCATAATAACATATTGATACAAAATTTTCGGCAATCTAAAAACTTCCCATACGCGGTATGAGCTATTCAGACAGGTGTATATAAAATGCACAACTTAGCATGTCATACGAACCCGAGGGTATGTTCGATATGTGGTGAGCAGTCACCTAGTAAATCGGAGAGCGTCAGGGACGGCGCCGCCGGGCCAAAGTACCTCAGACGCTCGACGTGTAGTATGGGACAGCATATGAGCACATGTTCCACTGTGAGCCTGGCGTTGCAGTGGCGATACCGTGGTGGTTCGTCGTAACATAGTAAGTATCGATGTGTAGCACAAGTATGGCCAATCCACAAGCGACACAGGATTACTTCCTCCCGCCTAGACTTTCGATAGGATGACCGCCATTCCTGAACAATGGGCTTAATGCTTTTGAGTTTACTGGTGCCCATGGCATCTCATATGCTCTGCCATTCCCCGCGCAAAAAGGCAGAGATGGCCGAGTATAGGTCTGTAGCGCGTATCGGAAACGTTCTGCGACAGGGACGACGAGTAGCACGTTTAGCAGCACAGCCAGCCAGCTCATTTCCCGCAGTGCCAACGTGGCTCAGGATCCAGCAAAGTACTATGGTCTTGCCAGCCCGGTACAGATAGTCGAGACGCAGTAAAATATCCTGTATAAGGGGATTTACCGGACTAAAACGTCCTAATGCCGAAAGGGTACTTAGGGAGGCCGACAAAATCACGTGCAGACTGTCTTCGCCCACCTCTATAAAGCAAAGCGCCTTAATGATGGCCACAAGCTCTGCAGTATACACGGGCGTATGGGCTGGCAGTGTAAATGATCGCGTATCGGAACCACACACAAAAGCGGAGCCAACACCCGCATCCGTTTTGGAGCCATCTGTATACGTATACGTACGTAATTGTGAACCCCCGATATGCTTCGATATGCTTCAGAGCTGTTGATCGGGCAACATACGGAATCATATTTCGCTTCCGAACCTCCGACAATGAGACGTTGACGGGTTGGCGATTCCATCGCCCACGGAGCGGTCAGCAGGCTACGTGGAGCATCACCCACACCCCGAAAACTTAGGCCACTCTCACGAAGAACATTACGAACACGTACACAGAACGGCGCCAAACGTGTTGCTTGTTCGCACTGAAAAAAAACAAAACATTAGATGTGTGGCGTGAGAACACAGTGTCATGTGTTGGGTGATTCGAGAATCGCGCGAGCTTGCAAGCGTACCGCATCCCCAACAACTGCCTTCGGGTAGCCAGCGAAGGTTCGTTGGCTTCCACAAGCAAGCTGGTTGTCGGAGACGTACGAAATGCACCAGTAATGATTCAACGCAGCATGATGGACCGCATTCAATGTACGTTTTGCGGACTCAGAGGCGCCATCATATACAAAACACGAATAGTCCAGCTTGGCGCGTATCAGCGAACGGTATAACAATAAAACTGTTTTCCGATCGGCTCCGTAGGATGTTCGTGCCACGCATTTCAATATGTTCAGTGCATTAAAACACTTCTCAGGCAGAATGATAACATGCTCCTTGTAGGTCACACGCTCATCAAAATGTAATTCCAAAAACCGTGCCGCCGTATTGTAGGGGATCGACTGTCAATAAAGCTTAAGCACCATGTCGGGACACTAAAATGGTGAAGAGTGAAAAGTGGACGGAGACTGTCTTCGAGGCCGAAAACTGTAACCCGTTGAGCATGTTCCATATTTCTAAGCGAGCCACAGACAGCTGCAACGGGCACGACATGCACGCTGCCGTGGCGGAGCTGCACCAGGTGGCGAGGTCATCAACAAAAAGCGAGCGACCAATCGCCTGGGGAAGACTGTCCCCAACATCATTTATCATGACGGCAAACAACGTAACACTTATAACACTGCCCTGGGGCATGCCGTTTTCTTGGGTGTATCCTTTCGAGCATATGGAACCATCACGGATGCGGAAGAAACGGTCAGCAAGAAAGTTCCCAAGAAAGGCACCCATAGCTCCGCGTATGCCACACTGGGACAGCTTCCGTAAGATGCCATATCGCCAGGTGGTGTCGTAAGCCCTTTCGATATCGAAGACCACAGCTCCTACGTGTCGCTTTCCCTAAAATAAATGCGCACAGTCGAGTCCAAGGCCAAAAGATGCTCAATGGTGCTACGGTTTTTCCTGAAACCACAATGCGCGTTCGAGAAGATATTGTTACTTTCTAAAAACCAAGACAATCGTGTCTGAACCATCCGCTCCAGAAGTTTGCACGTAGAGAAGGTCAGCGAAATCGGACGGTAGTCTGATGGATCCTTCCCATTCTTACCAGGCTTCAGCAGCGGAATTATTAGCGACTACCGCCAAGACGTGGGGAACTCTCCTGTCTCCCACAACTGGCTGAATGCCACCAACATGGCTTGTGTCGCTGTTGGTGGAAGTTGCCGGAGCATATCATTATGAATGAAATCCGGGCCTTCCGCCACGCTGCGCAGAGAGTTAATGGCAGACATCAGTTCAAGCATTGTGAAAGGTTTGTTATATGAAAACTCTTCGGATGTATGAAAGTTTATGTGGGCTGCTTCGCAACGAGCACGATGGCGTATGAAATCAGGAGCGACAGTTGTTCACTCACAACGCTCCGCGAACGCACAAGCCATTTCATTCGCCACCTTAGATGGGTCCAGTATGTCCTGGCCATTCATCCGGAGCACGGGGTGCGGCACTGAGAAGTGCTTGCCTGCTTTACGCTCCACCCGCGCCCAAACCATCGAAGCCGGCGTTTGACAGTTAAGCTGGCCCACAATAAACGTCAAGACGTGCGCTTGGTCTCCAAGATAGTACGTCGGGCTGCCGCCTGAGCTCGTCGAAAAGCGATTAGGTTGTCCGTGGTGCTGTGTCGATCGAAGTCTCGCAGGGCTTTTTTACGCGCACGTATAGCGTCGCGGCACTGGTCCGTCCACCACGGAACAGGGGGACGACGTGGGGTGCCGGATGTAAGTGGAATGCTTTCTTATGCCGATCGTAAGATTGTGGAAGTGAGTTCCTCTACTGATGCAGGCACATTCGCCGAAACGGAAGCCAGCCTGGTTTCCACCCGTGCCTGAAATTCATCCCAGTCAGCCTTTCTAAGATTCCACCGTTGTGGCCTGGAACTGAGAGCTGCTCTGTTCTGGTAACGCAAGCAGATGGGGTAGTGATCACTACCAAAGGAGTCGTTGTCCACCGACCACGTCAGGTGTACTGCCAGTTGGGGGCTTGCAAAACTTAGTCCAGCGCCGATGTCCGACCTGACGGCAGCGTCATGTGATTTCGGGTCTTGGTATTTAAAAGACAGAGAGATTCATCATGTAAAAAAGTTTCGCAGTGCCTGCCGCGAGTGTTGGTCTGGGCGCAACCCCAAGATGTGTGGTGAGCGTTGAAGTCACCCAGCAAAAGGAAAGGCGGGGAGGTTCGGCCACCATAAATCTCATTTCTGCCGTCGGAAATGAGCACTAGGAGGTAAGTAAAGCGAGCAAACGGTTATTGCACGACGTCCAAAGAGTACCTTAGCTGCAACAGCTTGCAGGTCAGAGTGTAAGATGCCGCGCTGGACGGAGACACTGTGGTGCGCAGCCAAAAGAACTCCGTCATGTGCAGCTAGATCAGCTGGAGTATCCCGATGCATTACGGTGTAGCTCGGGATACTTAAATGAGAGCCAGGTGCCAGTTTGGTCTCCTGCAGGCACGCGATGGCCGGACAGCGCTGACTCAGAATGACTGAGATTGTGTAGACTAGTTCTCACACCCCTGCAGTTCCACTGTAAGATACTCGTCACAAAGCTAAGAAGTGAGGGTAGCCATTACACACCTAGCTCACCAACACAGCGAGCAGAATATCACAGTCAATACGCCTGCAAGGGGGCGTACTAAAAAGGGGGCTAAAGTCACACTTTAAGACGCGACACGGTTTAAAAGAACTGGGCTGCGCCTATTGCAGGACCGGACACCTCGGACTGGGAGTTACGGCTCGATTCCGCAGGGCGGTGCTCCACTCTGGGCCGAATCCTTGGGCTTCCTCCGTCAGATGGAGACGGAGGACCGGCTGGGGGGCGCTTTTTGCCAGCGTGCCAATCCTGGGTGGTGGCGGGGGAGGGTCCATGGATGGGGCCCTGCCAGACATCTGAGGACCAGCGGGGGGTTCAACTGGTCTTCTGCGCGATGGAGCGCTGCTGCGGGGGACGTACTCCTTGCCCGCCCCAGACATACGGTTCGCCGCCTTTGCCCGTTCTTGTTGGGCCAAGCGCCCCCGTTTGGCATCACGGGCGCGCCTGTCCGCCTCGTGCCGCTCCAACGTGTCTATCGCCAGCCCGCATGCGTTCGCTAATGGCGCCGGGGGTAACGAAGGCAGCGGAGCACACGAAACGGAGGCGAACGAGTGTGACGAAGAAACCGATGTGGAGGCCGGTGGAGCCCGCGGGCCACGGCCGCGCCGGGCCACCGTCCAAGCCTCCTCTCCGGCAGGAGACGGCGGTGCCGTGGGAGTCGGCAACGCGGAGGGTGCCGACCGGCCAGGGGGCGAAGAGGTTGCCAGCACGGTCTCCTTCGACCGCTCCAGCGAGGGAGGGGGAG